TAGTTTATGTTTAGTACAACATTGTAGACCCGTCATGACTAACCTTTTGTCGTGACAATTAGTTTTACCTAGATTTTGATTTTTTATTCGTTTCTCTCTTCATGAACGCTACGAAATGGGGGTACCCGCAGGAGCAAAATCTCCAAAAATGAACAGAAGTTTAAAGATGGTATAATTTTTTGGAATTCTACTTGAGAAATATAACTTGTAAGTTTTTACCTACTTTGTTAGTAATAAGAAATATAACTAATATATCTTCAGAAATTTCCGTAATGTTTCCCTACACGTTTCTCCGCGTTTATCCGCATGTGTCTGGCATGTACTTCCACCCATCCCCGTTCATGTTTCATGGAAAATGTTTATTTCATTATAATGTGAAAATCATCAAACGTATGTATGGAGTTTTAATCTCCAAACAACGTATGGGGTTTTAATCGACCTGAAAAGTTGCTCTTGTGTTATCTCCGATGTAGAATGGAGATAGGCAGCGTCAATGAACATGCGAAATATTTTATTTTTCCATTGACAATTCATCATCATTTATTCAACAGGCGCGATAATAGTATATCACTGTATAAAATAATAATAGTGAGTGATTCCGAGAATAGTACATCGACCTGTATTTCTTGTATGGTTAATTTCCTTTCTGGTACCCATCATAGTAGTGCTTGCGTGGGGCACAATAATTGTAAAAATATTGTAGCCCAAGCGACGAAAACTATTTGACAACAAGCTTGCAATGAAACACTCCGAAACAGTCTCGATGTTTAGAATAAGAAGTTATGTGAAGCCACTAATACTCCCACCACTCCCACTCAGCGAAGGCTGCGCGCCAACAAAAACCAGTCTGGGCTACACCTGTAGCCCGCGCGAGTTTTCGAGGGTCTAGTAGTATACAGAAAATATTGCAATGCTCCGACGAAAAACGAGGATTTTTTGCTTGATTGGTTGTCAATGATTCCGGCTGCCCCACTGAATTGCGAGATCCGGCGTCGGCTGCTGTCGCCTTGCGGGGTTTTCTGCAACCAGGTATCTGCGACCACCAGGGCACCGCCCCAGCCGGGACAAGTTCTAAGCTCCCGACCGGTTTCCCGGCATGTGTGGGATTGCAGTGCATGATAGTTGCGTGTGGAAGGGGTTAAAAATAGCAGGTTTAAAAAGTACTATATTTTTGGTATAAACAGCCATTATACATTTATAGAGAATCAAACTTAATTTTGAGAAAACAACTTCCCTGTGACGACTGGGTATTTGACATTCGTTGCGAGTAAACGGTGGTCGGCGGTTCCGTTTAGCTCTACCTCCCCCCGATTCTCTCGCTACCTGAATGTGTGATGACGCAATCATTCGTGACATAAAATCTAATACGTCATCATTTGTGCCTTAAGATGCCCGATTATGAACGATTTCTTGCTACAGAAAAGGTTCTTTTGTAATGCTAGAATACAAAAAAATTGGTTTATACCGAAACGTCTGAAGATGGAGATTCTTTCGCGTTAGGAAATTTGCTTTTAAAGACAGATCTTTAAATAACAATGACTTGTATATTTTTTTCAAAAATACGAGAAGTTTATTGCGTAATTTTGTGTAAAATAGAGAGCGCTCAAAACGATTGCAGAAAAAAAGCCCGCAGAGTGTGCTCGTAGCGCTGCTCTCTGAGGCAGAGAGCACCGAGAGCGCCTGATTCGCTGAGTGCACTTTGCACATAGCCGAAAACTCACGCCATGGGAACTCGCGTGTAATGCACAGAGAGTCTTCATAACGATTGCAATGGAAAGTACTTTGCACGTTTTCGCGGCACATTCTAATCCGGAAGCACAGAATACCTCAGGGAGCACACAGAGAGCATTCTACGTCGTGAGTGATCATTGCCTACAGCTCGAAGCTCGTAGTAAGGCGAGAGCTCTTCGTGTAATTCACCGAGAGTGGATTGAACGATTGCAGATAAAAGTACCCTGGTGCTCTGAGCGCATTGTGATCCGGAGGCGCATGGTACTCCAGAGAGCGTCCAGAGCGCATTACCCATAGAGAGCGCTCGCTGCACATAGCCCAGAGCGCCGTGAGTGCTGTTTCGGGCTGAGCTACGTCACTGACTCCGAGCGCTGTCGAGCGGTTGGCCGAGGAGCTGCGAGAAGAATCGTTTGGCAGTGCAACCCACTTTAAAAACTTCCCGGCCCTTCACTGCGTCCCCGAACGCCGCGCCGCGCCACGCCTCTGTGAGCGGGAAGCACAAATCAATCAGTCGCCCTCGCTCCCGCTGGCCTACGAGTGGAAGGTGCGGTTACACGCGGGGAGCTCGTTTCCTGCAAGACGTGACTTCGCGAAACACCCCCCCCCCTTCGTTCGCGCGTTTTCCTTCGTTTCGCGGTACTTTCGCACCCTTTTTTCCAACCTGTTGGCAAATCTGATTAATGCATTTTGATATTGTATTAATTTAGTGCGGAGTGCAGAACAAATGCTAAACGAAAAAAGGATGCGAATTCAGAGAACTGGGATTGAAAAATTTTAGGATAAACCTGGACGAAAACTGTATGAGGTTGAGTTGACATACTCAGATTTTGTGTATGTCACCATAAATTGTTTTCATCACAGTTTAAAATAGTACAGCCGGTATCTGAGTTTAAGTTGAATTTAGGAATTCTTGCATATTGAATTCAACAACAAGGACAAATTCAAACTCACAGTCATATTATGTTTGTTATATTATCATGAAATATGGTAAAACTTTTACTAACGACATTTCTTGAATACTATATATCACAAGGTTTTTTTCTTTTCTTGTTTTTTTAGTTCATAGACTTCGAAATATTCATTCGTACATAGAATCAGAAGAAAACTTGAACTATTTGACCTACTATTTCCTTCTAATTTGAATCCTAATGTACAATGGTCGATAAAATCAACATCAAGTACAGCACTTTTGAAATTATTTAAAATATGCTTCGATAAGTGAACAATATGACAGAACCAGAATTTAAAATCCAAACAAAAATTTGAGTAGTGAGGAGGGAACTTTTCCTAAGAGCTTTTCCTGGCAGGGGCATTGTTCACTGGGGGAAATACTCCAGAAAGCTCCATTTCGTATTCATAACTCAAACCCAAAGGTTGAAGCCATGTTTTACGCATTTCGAGTTTGAAGTTTTATCAAAACCTGGCCCTCCATAAATGACAACATATAACGAAGTTTTTGGAAGTATTTTCATATCACCTAGAAGATGAGATTTGAGCTGGAAATATTGTGAGAGCGGCGCCATGTGGGGGACACAAAAGTCTGTTCACATAAAGAAATTGTTCAAATGTGCTTTTTCTGACTACACAAAGTACTAATGTATTACATTTTGCAACAGGATTTATCCAGTTTTTCGGTATCAGAGCCCTACGTTTTGGTTGAAAGCCCCAGTTTGGGGGTAAACAAATTGGCGAAGTTTGCTGCAGCATTGCTTTTTCTATACTATATAAGTAGATTGCGAGGAAGTAACAATACCGTACTGCACTCGTACGTCTTTTGCACTCATTTCAAGCAAACGGCGGACTAGCCTCCTATTGTCAACATTTCATTGGTACGGTAAAACTCATTTTCATGTTCTTTGTTTACTTAAATTTACATTTTATTGTGAGTTCTCGTGAATTATTTAAAGAAAAATAGTACCCTATTAATGTAAAAGATCACAAACACTACACATTTACTTAGACAGTTTTCTCTTCAAAACATATTTTTCTGTGCAGTTGAGAACTCAGTAACATTGTTTCTCATTATATCAAGTTCTTCCGGGTAGATATCCATTTAAAGGTATCCATGTAAAATTTCAAATGAAACATATTTTAAAATGTTTAACATTGTTTGCGGGCCATACCATGAAAGGTAATAGTTTTACTCTGTTTATACGCATGATAACACGAAACGTGAGATTAACTTTTTTGCTCCAACAAATTGCCAATCTCCTGAGCGTTTTAAGTTCCTGTTGGATGGGACCCCTTTTTTTCATCACCGTATTTACAGCGACTCGTTTAACATCCTGTTTAAACGCAGCGAAGATTGCACTTTTAGGCGAGATTCATTCTCATTTATACGCATCCTGTCTCCCACTATCGTTTGCTTAGAATTGCGTATAACGAAGTTGTCACATACGGTGTGACGGGTGATAAAAAATCCGTTGACGAAGATCCCACAAACAAAATTGAAATGGTTCTCTAATTTCGCTTTTCGTGCTGTGGAGATAAGTTTCATAATCGGAGTTGGAGGGGTGAACTCACCCGAAACTCTTCCCAAATTATGAATGAGTAAACGCATTTAACACACTAACAATTACTGTAATTGAAAATGAAGAGCCTTCTAAGCAGTGGAATATAATCGATTAAATGTGTTGAATAGTGTTATCGAATTAATAATCATGTGGCCAATTTTCAACAATGAGAAAATATATTTTTTGGTATAAATAGAGAAATATGCAAATAAGTGAATTCATGAATTTGTGGTGTGAATAACAACGAACGTCAAATTGTAAACACGCCAACGCGTGAGATACAGGTTGGGAGTATAACATTAGAAATCCACTGAAAATACTTTCTTCCGGTATTAATTTTTTTAAGATCGAAATGTTTACGGAATTATCATTGTTTGGTAATATTAACAAGAACATAATGTTGTTGAATTTTTGAACCCTAAAATGAATTGCCGTTGGTTAATGTGGTAATGAAAATATAATGTTGATTTTGTACTAATTAATTATGTAGTTTAATGCGCACAAGTTGCCAATTATGTTTTTACTTGTAGTATAAAATTTGTATAGAAACAATGTCCACATAATAGAAAGGTTCTCTTTGCGCATGTCACGCACGTTTTGCGTGATTGGAAGGGTAGAGTGAACAATGACTGAGTGGAAGGGAGCAAAACATGCCTGCCCAGCGATCGCTCAGTGGACGAGTTTCAAGAAGCAAGGAGGAAATGGCGGCTTTCTTTTTCGGAAATGGATGGTCAGGAAACGTAGGCAAAGCGCTCGATGGGTAAGAGAAGTAAGAGGAAAGACGAAGAAGAAGTAATATAAGGACATAAAGGAGAAACCAAATCATGGAGGGCCAGAAAAAATATCACAAGAAAACAAACATATTACAGGTCATATTTGAGGTCTTGAGGGAAATAGTAAAAGCATAGTCTATTTTTAATGTGTCAATTTCAATGTGTGTATGTAGGATTTGATATAATGGGGAAAGACTTCATATTAACCCGCTTTCGGTGTTTCTCAATGTTTTTATTTGCCATTTACTTTCACATCTTCTGTTTGACCTCTTGTGTTATTTGTATTGTTAGGCGCGGGGCTTAAGAACTGCCAGGCTTATTCGAGATAATGTAGGAAGGTTCATATTAAAATCAGATCTTCGCTCAGCCCTACGACTGAAATGGGGACTTAATGGGAAGGCAGGATTGCGAGTGCTTTATTGATCATTATTTAATGGTAACGATCGGGGATTTCTTGATAACCAGCCTGAAATAAACGGAGGGAATCTCGGAAACAACCAATCAGAGTAGCCAACTTCGCCAATTATCATCCAGCAGCTTTGACCCAACTACTGTAGTTAGTATCGAAAACCCGCCATCGCTGGGATTCAGGCCCTCGACTTTTGGGTTTACAAAGGTTTAGTTCGAGATTTACAATCTTAAACACTAACATATTCGTTATTCTCCCTCTTCACAGTGTTCAAAAGTTTAGGGTACTCAAGATGAGTGGGAAAATCATTCTATATAAACCAGAATTTGGAGTTCAAATATTTTTTTAAAAATAAGATGTAAAAGTACCATCGGTCAGAAGAGAATTGGACAATGCAGACCTAAAGACGTGCTGGGACGTTGTGAACGCAGCAACTTTCAAAACGTTCGTTTTCCTTTGGAGCGGAGGGTGCGGCCCGGGCCAGACTGAATAATAGAGTGTGCGCCGCGCCGAAGGGAGCCCATATACTCGGTTGGCGCTTCGATAAATAGAGCGCGCACTCCTCAAGGGACCTGGTCCTCCTTGACGGGAGGGGGGGGAGGGGGCATCGCGCACTGTCCCGATGCGGGCCAAGGGGCGGCTTGCCAATAACAGATAATTGAAATAAACGTGCAGTTTAAGAAAACAAGACAT